CTTTAACACTTCTAAAATAAATTTCTTAGTATTCTTTGAGAAATATGAAAAAATTCGTTAGTTTTGCATTGTTTCGATATATATATATCAGAAACTAAAATGTCTATAAACTAATACCGCTGCTTAGTTTTTAATAACCTTTTAATTTCAAGTAAATCATTTTTTTCATACAATAACTTTAAACCACTAGGGATTGCCAAGTATTTTGATTCCACGCCTATTCCTAATTTCCCATAGATTCTGTTCATAGTCTGATTACATATTCATGTTTTTTAATATTGTGAGTACATTTCTTACTATAATGATTTTAAATTGGAAAAACTTGCCTATCATTTCGAAGCTGATTATTCTATAACAATAAACAGGATTCAATCGAACTCCTGCATCCAGCATTGGGACAAACTAGCCTTCGTAGCTTCATTGAGCTAATAATCCGTATTTACGTTACATTGCGAGTAAAACTACAAAAATCTCCCTCGGTTCGCACAACGGAAAGGGAATTCCCTGAGTTGTCGACCGCTGACTATATCTTACGTCAGTACTGTGGTCGGTGCGAACTGGGAGTAGAGTTCGTATCAACCAGTCACCTCTGTGATCGACTACTCTGGGTTACAACTACTAGTGCTCATCCTCTTAGCCTTCTAATTTTCAATCAATCCAAGAAAAAAAAATACAGAAACTCCTGGATCAGTACCCCCAAAGGTATGATTTGTTACGAGAACATGGATGACTTTATTACCTGACAAATTTAACGTGCATCAGTCACCATTTACTACGTGGGTAGTCTTCAGCCAGCGGGGGTCGAACGCACAACCTTCTGGACATGGGCCCAGTGCCCTACCGACCAGTCTATTCCGGCTCCCTTTATTAGACAGGAATTTTTCTGATTCAATAGTTTACGTATTTGTTTTTTAAGAAAAATACGTTTCTGAGTTATGTTTAAAGAATATAATACTCACGGTATCCCTTGTACACATACTATGGATATAATATAGTTATTTTTATTTTTTTAGAATCATCATGGTGTGAGGTATTTACCCAGATACCCTGCTTTAATTATATTATTTGAAAACTTTTTAAACTGAATTTGATAAAATAATTTCAGGCGATTTATTTTTAATTATGAAAAGTTAAACATAATAATTCATATTTTTCACTTATGTTAAATTAAAAAAGGGCTCTGAAAATAGTTAGTTTCTTCTGAGATTTAATACCGTATTTTTTGTAAATTGGGAATTCATGAAAATGATATTCATTCAGAATGATATCGTTAAAATATGACTACCGTATATTCCGGCGTATAACGCGCACTTTTAATACAAAAATAAGCATTGGAATTTACGGGTGCGCGGTATACACCGAATATAAAAAATTATAGATTAAAAAAAATTAAATATATAGAAAAATACTTTTATTTTAAAGAAATAACATACCTTTACCTATATACTTTATTGATTTTCGTTATTACATAAATAGTTCATTATATTCGTCTTCCGTTATTTCTTCAGGCACGTCATCACAATCTGTTTCGTCTTCATCATCCGTGTTACCCTCATCCATAAATGAACAGTCATCTTCTGATCCGTCCAGATTATTTGAAATGCTTCATTTTTTTAATGATTTTCTAACCATCTCAGGCTTAATTTCATCCCATGCTTTTAATATCCATTTGCACACTGCTTCCAAACTTGCATGAGGCATATGTCCTCCTTTCGTAAAGATTTTCTCGCCCTCCAACATCCAAGCGTTCCACTGTTATTTTAAATTGGCTTTAAATGGTTTGTTTAAGCAAACGTCCATTTGGCTGAACTAATGGTGTCAATCCGCCTGGAATAACTGTCATATCGGTGTTACATTCTTTCAACAATTTTTTTGTATTATCTGTAAGGTGGGACCTAAACATGTCCCACACTAAAAGGCTTTTTGGTTTTCTTACGCAACCAGGACGAATTTGCCAGACATTTTTTACCCACAATTTAACACCATTTTCGTCCATCCAGCCTTTTTCGTGGACATGAACAAAAGTACCTTTTGGAAAAGTTTTTCTCCCAAAAATAACCATTGGTTTTTGTTTCGTTCCATCCGCTAAGCAAGAAAGGGCTACGGTGAAATGAGATTTCTCCTGTCCCGTTGTTGTTACGTTGACAGATTTTACTCCCTTTAAATCAATTGTTTTAATACCGATCATGTCAAACATGACTGGGGTCTCATCCATATTTCCTATTTGCGAAAGTAAATATTCCTTTTTTCGCAGTTCTATAATATATTTTTGAAAATTTAACAATTCCGAATTTTCGTGCGCGTTATACGAAGAGTATATCTTAAAATTTAAAAAAAGTTATTAGAAATTACGAGTGCGCGTTATGCGCCGGAATATACGGTATGCAGTTATTTCAGGTTTTAAACTAGTCACTTTGGAAGAAAAAAAAAGCATCAAACTAACTATGAAATTCAATAACTCTTAAACTCATTCGAGTTATGAAAGGAGGGCTACTATTATTTTCAGAAGTGAATGATTCACATGATATATTTACAGCGACTTTTGATAAGCATTTTTTGAGAAATTTGGATTTTCAGGGTTCTACTGCATTTCTTATTCTACAATTGAAAAATGCTTATTTTATTTATTTTATATAGGAGTTACTGAGTCCGATGAATGTTGCGTCATTCAGTAAAAGTTTTTATTAATTTATTACTCATTCTTACAATTTATTCATTTTAATTATGTATTTTCTAATTGAAAAAATGAAATTAAAACTGGAAGTCTTCACCAATTATTTGTCTTATTGATTCCGCTTGTATTTTTTTATAGTATTATATCTGAAAAATTAAACTTCCCGTATTCTAATTTCCACGGACTAAAGTGCTGTCACACTTTCACGTAACATTAATATTTATTAAATTAGTATTTGTAGTACTACTGAAAAATTATAAGAGGGCTATTCTGCGCATAAATTCTCACGGTACGTCTGCTGCCATGTGACAAGAGCACCAGTGTTAGGTATCATTTTACACGTGCATGCTTTGAGATTTCTCTGCTTGGGAGTTCCCCGCTAATTCTTTCCCACCCAAAAAAGAGAGCGTCTTGAGTCTCACAAATTGACAGAATTTGTCACGGTCTATCTGACACTAAGAACACCAAGAGAGTAACAACTCATAGAATATTTCCTTTAAAAATTTTAATAAATATACCCTGATTTAAAATAATTTCAATGAAATTTTATTTTGATAAAAACTGAACATACTTAATGAATATACTTCGAATTTTCTTCATATTATTATATTTTCTTCATATTAAAGTTTTTATCAAAATAAAATTTCATTAAAAATTTTTAAATTATATATATATATATATTTAATAAAGTACCAGCTGTGATTGTTAAAAATTGCAGAATGTCTTTCATAAAATGATTGTTATTTGATTTTTGCCACTTGTAATTGCAGCACTAATTTAGCTTTCATGTTTTAACTGATTTATGCTGTTATAATAGCTGTTTTACTACAGCGGTTTATAACTAATAACATGCAAAAAAAGTAATATTGTTATAATTTATTNTATATATATATATATATATATATATATATAATATTCACACAAAAGTACGATGTTACGGTATTTTTCTAAACACATGCTATCTGCAACCATAGATGTTTTTTTTCTTCTTTTCTTTAGGATTTTAATTCATTAATTAAAATTGCATATTGCGTAATAATTTCTTTTTTTAAAAAAAATAAAGAAAAAGAAACATCTTCCTTATATATAAAATATTGAAATTTTTCCTTTCCATCAATAGTTCCAAATTCGATAGTGGTTGGAATAGCTTTGACTTCTTATTAGAAAATTTCTGACCGAAGACACATTTTTCGTTCTGCTAATAAATCAAATCTGTAATTATTGATACAGACTGTATTTGTTAGGTACTGATTTTCTCAGTTTTGAGTCTAAGAAACTTTGGTGTGAAAGCATTAAAAGAGTTATCATTCATTCCTTATGACATTTATGTCCGTCTGAACTTCAGGATGGGAGAAAAAATTACTACTACGATTCTTCCTAACGTTACGGTTTTCAATATATAGAAAATCACGAAAATAATCTACTTCATTTTGCAAGTCAGGGTATGCAGCCACCTTTATGTCGAATTTCTCGGCCGTACGCGTAAAAGTGTCAACTATTCTCTGAACTACAAAATATCTGGTATGTACAATTATTTTCTGCAGTGTTTTGTTACAGGAAAATTATGTCTCCTTACTTCAAAAAATGTGGCAACTATGTGGATAGTGAATAAGTCTAAGAGAAAACTTCCTCGTAAGGATTCAATCTTAGGTGGTCAAGGATTTCAGTATTGTAATTGTAGAAGCAAATACAACTCGAGTCATTGCAAATGTAAGAAGTAGAAAGCACTTAGTAATTCCAAATGTAACAGTAACTTTTATTGCCATAAATTAGTAATTTGTTTATCGTTAATAGTAATTTGTAAAGCAGTTATGCACTTTTAATATTTTTTATTTATTATTATTTTTTTTTGAAAAGTAATGTGATTACAAATTAAAGTATAACCTACACTGATGTTTTTTTCATTAGATTAAGTGCGACTGCCTGGGGTACATTATCCCAGTATATCCTACACTGATGTTCTTTAAAAGTACTGAAATCATGTGGTTGTGACGTGTTGATAAAAGTCCAGCAGTTGCGCAAACTGAACTAATTTTCGTAAAGCAAAGTGACTTTTCTTACATTTACCATTACGAGCTGAAAACTATGCAAACAAACTGGTTATTATATATAAACACCGGATTAATCACACTTCGAGAAAACATGGAAAAAATATTATAAAGATAAATCAAAAGTGATGAAAAATTTAAAAAAATTAATACATCTCCATGTTTTCTCTATATTTTAAACTTATTTCATGATTTTTACGTACCTCGGATTATGCGCAGAAAACAAAACTTATTTCAGTTTTCTTAATTTTCACTGTTGTATCAAGAAAATTTAAATAGGATAAATAAAAATCAAAAACAATTTTGTAGTCAATCAAAAGTAATATTATTAATTAAATTAATTATTTTTGTTAATAATAAAGCACTTGAACCGCATGTTGTCCAATGAAAAAGGGCTTGAGAAAATCAGTGTTTATATTTCTCACGATATTGCGTTGAAAATGGGAATTAGTAACACTTCCGGGAATGCTTGAGAGACAGAGAACCCCCTTGTGACGCGACACAGTGGGGGTGGTGTGACTATGTCTTTTATTCTAACCTCCTTGACCAAGGGCTATTAATTATCCCAACTGTATAAGAACAGAGGACCACTTGCTTGTGACAAATCATTTGTAAAGATGGGTAGAAGAGGAATATCGAAACTGGCAATGAAAAAAAGGATGATAGCACTTGCAGCAGCGAGGTAAGATTTATTTAATCATATGATATTTTTTAATTTGGAATATTGAAAATCTAATATTAAAAATTTAATAAATTTAAATGCACTAGACAATTAACATCTTGATTTTACTTATGTTTGATCCAAAAGTTATTTGTCTTGAAAATACTAACATTCATGCAAATGATATTTATATGTGAAATGTTAATTTTTATTTTGATTATCTTTATCATTATCTGTTTATTTTCATCATTATTAAGCTTTTTTCTTTTGTAATGAATGAAATAAATTTTTTTTATTGAAATAGTTAGATATAAAGGAGGTTTTGTTTTGCTTTTCTGTCCCTAAACAGTACTAATCTGAAACGATAATTTATTATAATATTTCCCAGTTCTCAGAAAGTGTTTGATAACTTAGATAGTTTAAAAATTTTTTAAATTTATTTCCTCATATTTGTATATAAATATGTATCGAGGTATTTATATTAAAATATTATTTTCATTGTGATACATATCCATTGATGTATTTTAACGAATAGTAACGGTTTCAATCCAAATAAATTATGCAATGTATAAACACATTCTGCATAATTTGTTTTATCAAAATGTCATGGGTTAATATTTTTTACAATGTTCCTTTTATTAATCAAGTGTTTCAATTTTTAAACTTATTAGTTCTAACTTTTATACTAAATTTTTTTTCTTCAGGAAATCAAATAACTATGGAACGCTTTACTTTATACAATTTTATATCTATAGTAACCAAGTAAAATTTATTAAGTAGTTAGTTGATAGCTTTAAAAAATAAATTGCTTATTTCAAATTAATTGTTTCTAAATCAGGCAGAAAGAAAAACGCTTGGTAAGTTTAATGATGGTGGTTTAAACTTTGATGGTCCAATCGGATAGAAAGTCTATGAATTTTTCTGGGTCTGGGGACTTTTCTGGGTAACTGAACTGGGTATTCAGTTTTTTAGAATTAACTATTCCTGTAATTCAATGTAAATTAATTTACCCTCTTAATAGATGATTATTAAAGAAGAAGAAAATACAAATGTTTTCATGTAGTAAACGTTTATATAATTTTAAAGAAACAATTATTTTTAAAGATAAAAACAAGTAACATACATAAAATTATTTATTTTTCCTTTTAGAAAAAAAAGGACACTTCTTACCTTTGTGCAAGAATCCACCAACGTATCTCCAGTTATTAGTTCTGATTGTATTGATGTATCCGGAAATCATCTTGTGAATTTATCGCATGGGTAAGCTTAAAAAACATTTATGCTATAGAATAATTATGAAATTTTTTATTTCTCTATCTTTTGAAAACTGTAGAAAATTACCCATTTTTCAGAAAGTTTAAATGCAATGTTTAATGTATTAAATAAATCATAATTCAATCTTAAAAATTCAATCTTAAATTATTTTAGTCCTTAAAATATTTTGCAACAAAAAATATAATGTGGATAACCGAAAGGAAAATAAAGTTTCTTCCTTTTCAGGAATAATATTCAAGAATTGTCTGCTAGGCCGCAAGAAACTATCGTTTTACCTATCTCCGCTAATGCTGCAAGCATGTACGTCACAGGGAATGAAACTCTATATCCATTCCATGGGTAAGTTTAAAAAATAAGGTTTATAGTATAGTTTAATAAATGTTTACAAGTATATATAGTATCTGTAAACCCTATCTATTCATTATTGAAAACAATAACATGCTCAAATTTGTAATATCATATGCTCAATTTTGAGCTGAATGCTTGGCTCAAAAAAATGATTAATCGAGAATTCATTTTGATTAATTTATTGTTTAAACAAGTGTAGGTATAGTCTCATAAATGAGTTTATGTTGTTTTGAGCAAGTTTTCAAATTAGACTAAATTTTTTCAGAGCTGTTTCTGCACATTTTTGCTCAATTTTGAGAAACCTTTTTTCAACGGTGTAAGTAAGGAATATGAAATTTTTCTATTCTTCCAAATGCTTAGATACATAATTTTTGTTTTAATTTAGAAATAACAATCAAGAATTGACAGCTAGCCCGCAAGAAGCCGTCCATTTACCTACTTCCTCTAATCCTGAAAGCATGGACGTAGCAGGAAATGAGCCTCTGTATGCATTTAATGGGTAAGTTTCATTAAAAAATATTATAATATAGATTAATAAAAAAAATTTTGAAATCTAGTGTATCAGCCACCATAGGTTTTTTTTATTTTTTTATTGCTGTAAATGTTGAAAAACTATAATGAATATGAAAAGTTTCTACTTTTTTAGAATTTTAGCAATTAGCTTTTTTTTTTCTTCAGAAATTTTGTTCAAGAATAACCGGGGGAGGTCGTAGGAAATGAGACTCTTGATTTATTTCATGGGTAAGGGAGGAAAAAAGTTTTTGTTTATGAAACTGTTTTATTAAAAAATTTCTGTAATTGAATGTTTTACATGCATGCAGATACATAACTTTTCATTAATTTGATTTCGGTTTTTAAATTTTTTTAATAAATTTTTTTCTTTTTCTCTTTTCATAAATCTTTATACCATTCGTTTTTTCTTTTTTTTCAATTTTTCTCTCCATTTTTGATATGATATGATGATAAATGTAGGGAATATATGTATAACACATCAACTTACTTTAATGTTATATATGGACAATAAGAATATATGTATAACACAGGGATCTTGAGGGAATATATGTATAACACATCAATTATCTTAAATGTTACTGTCATCTGTAATATTTAAAAAAAAAAGTTCGCTTACATAAAGTAAAAATAATCTTGCATTTTCAGGAATTTTTTTTCCGAAGAAATGGAATTACGTTCACAAGAAGCATCTAGTGCATCAGCTGCCACTAATTCTGAAAGCCTTAACACCTCAGGAAATTATGCTCTTGAATTACTTCATGGGTATGTTTAAAAATAGTACACTTTTATGTAAGAATTTATTTTATTGCGAGAAATGTTAAAAACTTCACAAAATATAAAATGTTCTACTTTTTAACCAAATATTTAAGTATAAGATAAAGCTAAGAGAGTTTGCATAATCAAACAAAATAATTTAAAAATACTTAAATTTTCCTTGTTATGCCAAATTAAGAAATAATAGTAATGATGGTTAATTTTTTTCCCATTAATATGTTGATGTTAAGCTTTAATTTAAATAACAATTATAATAAAACGAAGTAAGGTCTTTAGAAATTAATTTCTCAATGTTTTGAAGAGCCAAAAATTGAAAAAAAGTTTAATTGTGGAACATATATATATATTTCTTTTTTCTTTCAGGAAAAATAATAGAGAATTGCCATCTTTTTCCCAAAAAAATCCCGATAAACCTGTTGCTTCTGCTGGAATAGATGTGACGGGGAGAAGGCTTGTTGATTTTTCATTTTTTATACAAAACCTAAAAAGATTTGAGGATCATGGCCCATTTGACTGTAAAATAAAAGATGTTATAATAGTATCTGAAATGAAGAATGGTCTTAATTCTTCATTTAGATTCAAATGCCGTTTGTGCAATTTCGAGGATGTTGTGCACACAAATGAAGAATCCATTTCAATAAATACTGCGACAGTTCTTGGAATCACTGCAATAGGATGCGGATTTTCTAACATGGAAGACCTATTCTCAAATTTAAAAGTACCCTGCATGTCAAGTCGAAGATTTGCAAAAGAGCAAGAGCATCTTACGAAAGCTTGGGAAGAAACTGCAACATCGGAAATGGCAAAGGCGGCTGAAGAAGAGAAACGAATTGCAAGGCAAAGTGAAGATATAGATTCAGATGAAACACCTCTTCTCACCGTCATTGTTGATGGGACTTGGGGGGAAAAAAGATCCTATCGCACAAACTACTCATCTTTATCAAGAGCAGTAAGTTTATTACACATTATGTTTTTCAGAAAATAGTTCGTTATATCCATTTTTAATGCAAATAACTTAAGCAATTTAAACATTATGATTTTAACGTTTTATACAATTTCTGTAGATGCAAAAGATTGCATACCAGATAGCAAAATGAAGTTCAGACATTCTTTTACATTATTTAGAAAAATATTTATACAGAGAATAAGAAAACTTTGAATTATTTAGGATAGTATCTTGAATAACAGTAACATATTAAAAGTTTCAATCGAGAGAGGGCAAGGATATATGAGATGTATGTCTTATTATTTATAGTTTCTTTGTTTTAAATTAGTGGTTTAAGCAAATACATTTTAAGTATCAAATAACTACATAAAATTTAAGGCCTAAAAGGTATTTATTGTAGAATTAATATTTTAGAGGGTAAAAGCAATATAAAATAGGCAAGGCGGAATATTATGTTCTTTCACAGCATGCTTTACAGTATTTGTGCAGCTGTAATCGGCACCAAATTTATTCATTGAATATTTTTCACCTAAGAGTATATTTGGTACGTATTATAACTTAACCAAATACAATGCTGCCAGTAGTTCCCATTACCAAAATTTAGCATGTTTGGTATCAGTTTTATGGCATCTTTTTACGATTACCCGAAATTAATATGTAATTTTTTTTCCCTTTTTAGCTCATAGCTCATTTTTTATTTCAATTAGAACTTATCATCAAATTTAATTTTTTATCATTGACGTCAATAGAAAAATTCGTGTTTTATTACGTTTTTTTTTAAAGCGAATTAGTACAATTTCTCCCTAAATTTTGTTTTCCATTTAAATTTCTTTCTTTTTTTTCTTAACTTTCTATTAGCGTTGATTTAAAATTATTTAGTTTTTTTGCAACACGTTTTAAAATCATAAATATAAACAGAATTAACACATCGTTTCATATAACCTTAAAATTATTAATATTGTAGAGTAGTTCGCTTATTCTATCACGATCTCATTGATCATTCAGATATAAGCTAGCATAATGAGTAAAAAATAATTAAGTAGTACAGAATGCGTAATAAACTAATGCTTTGTATTATACTTAAGCCCTTGCAAACATTAATGAAATTATCCTTCAGATATTTGAAAATACAGAATCATGTTGTTAACTTTAAAACAATGGTTTCTACTAAACCAATGAGAAAATACAACTTCTTAAATGTCTTTGAATTAAAAAATCAAGTCAGAAATCGTAAATCGAGCTTCGTAAAAAGTTTGCAATCGTACTCATTCAAGTTCTTGTTGAATTTCGCATTCTTAGAACCTACCGTTTTCGCAGTCCGGTATACAAACACACACACGGAAATTCTTCATTTTATTATATGTAGTAGGTAATTTGTAAAAGTCATTGGTTTTGAGACTTTAATATCGTGATGCTGATTAATTGGCTTAAATACCACAAATTAAGTTCAGAAAGAGAAAAAAAAACTGTTTTTATTACCATCTCCTTGTCATGTACAATCTATAAAACAGAAGCGTTTTTTTTTTTTTTGTATAGGACACCATTTATTGTATAACATAACTTCTGTGTAAATTTCAAGGTTTATGAATTCATCTCATATAAATTCAAAACTATAATGAATNATTATCATATAATATAATATTATCATATATAATATTATCATATACCACAATATAGTATTTATCATTATATAATGATAAATACTTATGATACAAAAATTTAATTATACAATTTAATATATTTAATTTTTAATACCCATGGAAATTGAAACATTAATTTGTAAAGGTTATACATATATATATATATATGGGTGATTCTCACGAAACATGACAATTCACTGTCCCTTGCTCCAAGATCTTAAACTATAATACTAAAAGAAATTTTTTTAAAAAAATAATTAATACATAGCATTGCTGTTAGCATTTTAAAATGACTTTGCACTAGCATTGACTGTTTTGTATACTAAAAAATTTAATTGAATATCAGAATGTCATTTTCCTGGCATGTCCCAAACAATATTTCAAATAATAACTAGCTTCAAAACTTCCCATACATTTTTCAAAATCTATTTTTTTTTTATTTTATCCTATATAAGCATTTCTAGAATGTACGCAGAGGGTATTGTTTACTGAAACTTCGCTTAAAAAAATTTTTTCTGTCAATAATTTTTTTGTCCCATGAAAATCTGTCATTTTCCTGGCTACTAACAGATAGCGCCAGGAATCAATATCTTATGTTAATAGATTGATTAGATAGCCTCCTATCTGAACATGTCTTGTTTCATGAATAAAGAACCAATTTTCTGGCTCAAAATCTATTTCAAGAAATTTTTCAAGGTGAGTTGGTTTTTATGCTGTCATTTTCCTGGCTTCTTGAAATCATTAATAACAAAAACTACAGATATTTATATGAGTTATTTTAAGAAATCATGTTGTTTTCTGCAGAATATAAACGTTCTAGGCCAAAATATTAAATTAAAGTAAAGTTATATGCTATAAAATGGCGAATTTGTCATTTTCCTAGCTTATGAAAGCCAGGACATTGAAGTGTTATCAGAAATTCTTTTTAACTGCTAATACTGTAAAGAGGGTAAGCAAATATTAACCTAATACCAAGTTTATGTATGATTGTAATATGCTTGGATGTAATCAAGGTTATTTATTTATTTAATGATTGATTATTATACACAATTTTATTCTGTACATATCAGAAAAAAAATTTTTTTTTGTTTCTTTCTACAGTGGATAAAAATAATTGATTTAAGCAATTTATGGTCCATCTATCATAAAGCCTTAAGTTGAGTTACTTACTATTAATTTAAAATGACTGTTTTTTAAACTTCTAAGGTAATATGTCATTTTCCTGGCATTCAAGATTTGATGAATTTCTATTTTATTTTTTTTCTCGAGAAAATGTTAATAAACTACACTGCTGTCGGTAAGATATTAATGAATGTAACAAAAGAAGTATGCAAAAAAAAATTTAGGTTATTTTGAGGACTTTAAAGTTGGAAAAGAAAAGAAAATAAACAACACGCGTGTTCCAAAAATTGGAGTGGCCCATCTTCTGCTATTGAAAGCGATATTATAGTTGACGGCTTCCTCAATAGCATGGATAGGTATGGAGTGAAGTTCTCAAAAATGATTGGTGACGGAGACAGCAACGTCCATAAAAAAAATTCTAGATTCTCTTCCATACGGCAATTTTATGGTCGAGAAAATCGAATGCAAAAACCATCTCATTCGAAATGTTTGCAGTAAACTTACTGAACTATCGAAAAGCACGAAAAATGGTTTCAAAATCAAATTTAGGAAACTTTTAAGCGCAAACTTATTTAGAATGCAACAAGCGATATGGTCTGCGTCAAATCACCAAAGGAAATCGGAAATTTCTGAAATTCGGAAAATGAAAGAATTGAGAACTGATCTCATCAACATTCCCTACCATATTTTTGGAAAGCATGACAAATGCAATGAATACTTTTGCAAACCAGAGAAGGTGCTTACAAGTAGAGAGAATAATAATATAGACATAAGCGAAAGAGAAGGAAAGAAAAAGAAATTAGAAGTGGGGGGAAAACACTCAAAACATCGTTGAAGAAATGAAGCAGGATGGGATTTTTTTTCGCATCACTGAAATTTTCGATAATTTATCTTCCCATGCTAAGAGTCTGCTATACAACGCCACCAGCAACTTAGCAGAGTCACTGAATTCTGTAATCGCGAAAAATACCGGTGGGAAAAGAATTAATTATAGTTTGAGAAATTCTTATTCCATGCGGTGTAACGCAGCAGTTTCCTCCTTCAATTCAATCAGAAAATATGAAGCCCTGTATAGAACGTCCTTTAAATGCAGTCCTAATAAATTTTGTAAGAAATTGGACTGTAAGGCGGAAAAGAGGAGATGTTCCAGGAAAATAAGACAGGGAGAAATTAGGGCCAAAAAACGCAAGTTAGATCTAAATAAAGATAAAGACACCAGCTATGACCCCTTTGCTTCCAAACCTGATATAATCCAAGAAGAGTTTGAGGCCAAAAAATCCAGAATTATAGACTCCCTACAATTGAGTGATAGGGAAAGAGAAGACCTACAGAAAAATACCATCAAACAGGCAGATTCACCATTATGGATAGCGGCTAGGAAGAAAATACTAACGGCTTCTCATTTTGGTGAAGTGTGTCGCAGGAAAAATACACTAGTTAAAAAAATCCTTTATGCAGATTTTTATAGTGAGCCTGTGATTATGGGGGGGGGGAATGGAGAACGAGGCAAAGAAAGACGTAGAAAGAAAATTAAATTTAAAGATACAAAACTGCGGATTATTTATAGATGACACTAATTCCTATTTGGGAGCGACTCCCGACGGCTTAATCGATAACGACCAAATAGTGGAGATTAAATGCCCATTTTCATGTAGAGATATGCCACCAGAAGATTTCATCAAGAACAGAAAAACAACTTTTTGGAACCTAAACAAGGATAAATCCATTGGCGATATAAATATTAAACATTTATATTTCTATCAGGTTCAGGGACAACTGCATATAACTAATAGATCCTACTGTTTATTTTGTGGTCAAGAAAAGGATTTAAAACTCAAAAGATTTTCAAAAATGACAAATTCTGGAAAAATAACATGTTTGAAAAACTAAAGCAATTTTATTTTAATTGCTTAATTCCAGAAATCGTGGATCAACGATACACGCGCAGCATGCCAATAAGGAATCCTCAATACATTTTAGATGCTCAAAAAGAGAAAAAAAAATTCAAATGAACTTTAAATTCAAAAATTAAATCTATATATCAAGAAATTTTAAATTTCCTTACAAAATATATACGAAACAAAATATATTTTGAATCCTTTTCTTGACCATGAAAACAAAAAGAAAATTTAAATTTTTTTATAAATATATTCCAGTTTTTCTTCAAAATTTTTGTTTTTCAACAATTATTATGCAAAAAGTTGTTTTCCGATTCTTCATGAAATTGCCTGGTGGTCTTTACACGATATCTGATATCAAATTTTAAATTACTCTTAATAAGTTTTCCTCTCCACTTTACTTAAATATTAAAAAAAAACTATTACAATTCTGTTAAAATTTATAATTAACTTGATGTATTTCATTTAAATTTAATTTATATACCTCAAAAAGTAGCTTCGAAAGTTAAAAAACCTAAAATGGAACTTAATGTTCATAAATTTAATTTTAGAAATTAAACTGAAAATCTGTGTTATTATTTTGTAGATGATATCTATCATACTCTTTATACATTCCAATTACATGATTTTAAGTCAGTAATTTTTCTCCCAATTCAATGGTACTTTTTAAATCATCGCCTTTTACGCCTGAAATGTTTCTTATTTTACATTAATTTTTTTTTTTAAGTATCTGTTATTAATCTACAGAGTTTCACTTCCGAAAGCTTCTTTTGCGCTTACGGTTCACGCGATTCGCTTTTAATTTAACGACTCATCGTACTCAAGTGTTGACATTACAAATAGATAGTAATTTTAATCTGTGATGGTTTTTCCTGTAAGTCTTTGATTTATCAGTAATTTATTATTACATCATTTTAAATCATGAAAATTTAAATAATTTTTTTTTCTTTCAAATGCAATGAACTCGCGTCGTTTGTAACAATTTTTTCCCTCTATTTTCATCTACAGAATTAAGGGATTTATACCTGAATGTAGAAAACTTTTTAAAATTATTAATTTAAAGTTAAGGGAAATTAAAATTGTTCTAAATTTTGAAATAATATATTAAAATATCTTTTTCGCTACTATTTTTTAAGACCTGGCAGATAATACAATTCAGATAACTCTCGTGCCAAAACATCAATCCAAATCGAAAGTCAGAGAAAGTTTTGTTAGCTATGATCTCTCGAATCAATTGTACATAATGTAGATTTCCTTTTCTTTAATTTGCTTTTATTTTTCATTTTGCTAGTCAACTATTGATGTTTACATTTGAAAGCATGTGTGACTTCTTATTCATTTAATAAAGTACCAGCTGTGATTGTTAAAAATTGCAGAATGTCTTTCATAAAATGCTTGCTTTTTTATTTTTGCCACTTGTAATTTAATAGCAATTATACGGTAGTTCTGTTTAAAAGATTTTAAAACAAAATTGTTTGTCTTAGATTTACAGCGCTAACTTAGTATTAAAATGATAAAGATAGCTTTCATGTTTTAACTGATTTATGCTGTTATAATAGCATAAAAAAAATTTTGAAAAAAACTTTTACTACAGCGGCTTATAACATGTAAAAAAAGTAGTATGCATTGTTATAATTTAGTATTTTAAGAAGTATACACACATTTAAGAAATTACGCTTTTTCTCTTTTATACTTTATTTATATTTGGATATTTCGCTTTATTACTTTGTTTAGACAATGTAAAAATATTAATTTCACATCATGTTGTAATTTCATTTGATCCTTAAAGAATGAATACTGCGTGTACAGATTAAAACGCATTGAATTTTTGAAAGATTATCTTTTAATTTTTCATTTGTTATTTTCTTGGAATATAAAACTTATTGCTAAGAATATTTTTTTAAATTAAATTTATGATAATTATGCTTAAAAATTTTACATAATTGGAGTTAAAGAGTGAAGTTTATTAAAATCTGACAGATAAAATGGTTTGGTTATATCAATCGATAACCTTTCAAAAAGTATATTTTTATAACCGTCATGTGGGGCTATTTTGTGCAGCGGGGCTACTTTGCGCAAATTCGAATTTGGCACTTTTCAAGTGCTGCTATTCAGTATTATGTTTTTTTCACGTTAAAAATGTGTGGAATTTGAAGACAGAAGTCTCCTNACTAAAGTTTGAATTAACATAGTTTTTTTACATGTCAAAGCTCAAAAACTGCGAAATCCTGCACAAAGTAGCCCCACATGACGGAAGCTGAAAGAAAAAGGGACTGACACGTATAAAATGTGGAAAAGTGTGAGTTAAGGTAAAGGAACAAAAAGAAAAATGATAATTATCTCGTGCATTTAATTAAAATCTCAACTACAACTCAAAGGGCCAAGTCTTCACTAACTACACTAATTATGCTTACATACATATGCTTTCTACTTTATCAAAACATAAACAATATATTAAATAAAAAAAAAATTTATTATTTGAAAAAATAATCTATTTGAAACTCAAAAAGAATATAAGAAAAGACATTAAGATTTATTCGTCGTGAATCGAGAAAAAAAATACAGTTTTCTCTATTTTCAACAACATCAGAAATATAAAAAACCTTTTAATTGTACCTTTTGGATAACCAATAAATGCAAGTTACATGTCCCCTGTTTAATAAAACCCTTGCGCACTTTAATTCTTAAGTAATACATAGTCTAAAATCTTACGACATGAAATAACTATATACGCTATATTACATAGTTACGTGAGTGAAAGAAAATGCAAAATGATATCGAGGTTGTATTATTCATTTACTGTTGGGGAATCGTAGGAAGGAGATGGAAAGCTCATGAACATTTTATACGAAATTAAAACAGCTAGACAATTATAATATAAGTCATTTTCTAGAGCGACTGAATGTTTTAAAGCTTTACTAATATGAAGGAATAAAAAAAACGTGTCATACATTATTTTAAATGTTATTTGATATTACCAATATTTGGAATGATGACGAAATATAAATAGAGTAAAAATAATAAAGTAAATAAGAGAAGTAACAAGGAATCACACTACCCCCGTTTTATATACAAAAATATGGAGATAATGGAAAAGTAATAAATATAAATGCGTAATCAACTTTTGGCTCACCCTTTAAACATTGAGTTTTGCCAAAAAATGTTAACCCGAAACCTAAGGTCCCTTACTCACTGTCCCTCCCCTTTTCACGGCTTTTCCTCGCATTCTCCCCCTCACATTTTCTTCATTTTGAGTCGTCATCTAGCGTAGAGAGGGCCTTTAAGCGCAGGGCTTTAAGCGTAGGTGTAACTTGAGGAATGGGGTACATTTTTTGTGTATTTTAAGTTTTCTGCACAATGCGCCAATAAAAAATGAACCTTTCTGAATAATTTTTGATCAAATGATTGAATCTTCAGATTTTAGGACTCAATCTTAATGACCTCGAATATGCTAATTAATAAGTGCAGACGTACGATATTTTAAGTTACGAAATCAATATGCGTAAGTGCTTTTTCTCTGAATAAATATACTTTTTCAACGGAATCTGATTTTTGACTCCCAAAATGTAGGGTGCAGTCACAATCTGGGAAATAGGGTCCCAGTTGTTTGGTCAGGAGAACGCACCACCAAAGTTTGGTCCCCTTAATGTTAATTTTTCTTTTTGCGTATTTCGCTATATCTCAAGAACTTTCTACAATTATAAAATTCATTTATCCAAAGATAATGCAATGCAAAAAATAACTTTTAGTAAATATTTTTTTATTTATTTAATAATGATAGAAAAAATTGTGAATTATAAAGGTACGCAATTTTTTGTATCATTTTAATGAATTTAATTTTACATGGCAAAATACAAAATCTGTAGAGTAGTTCCTAAGAAATCAAATTTTACAAATACATCTTGATAATTAATCTAGGTCTTTAAGGAAAGCTGAAAAATTTCGAGAGATTTTGAATTAACAAGTTCAGAACTAAATATGTTCTAAAAAGTAAAAAAAAAAGAAAAAAAATATTCTGAAATATTATTCTAAAAAGGTGAATCATGAAACATAAGAATAACTGCTATTAAATATGAATGTAATGATAGCTGACTATAAGTTTAAATACAANCCTTACTCACTGTCCCTCCCCTTTTCACGGCTTTTCCTCACATTCTCCCCCTTACATTTAAGTTTTCTACACAATGCACCAATAAAAAATGGACCTTTCTGAATAATTTTTGATCAAATGATTGAATCGTCAGGTTTTAGGACTCAATCTTAATGACCTCGAATATGCTAATTAATAAGTGCAGACGATATTTTAAGTTACGTAAGTGCTTTTTCTCTGAATAAATATACTTTTTCAACGGATTTTTGACTCCCAAAATGTAGGGTGCAGCCGCAATCTGGGAAATAGGGTCCCAATTGTTTGGTCAGGAGAGCGCACCACCAAAGTTTGGACCCCTTAATGTTAATTTTTCTTTTTGCGTACTTCGCTATATCTCAAGAACTTTTTACAAAATTCATTTATCCAAAGATAATGCAATGCAAAAAATAACTTTTAGTAAATATTTTTTTATTCATTTAATAATGATAGAAAAAATTGTGAATTATAAAGGTACGCAATTTTTTGTATCATTTTAAGGAATTTAATTTTACATGGCAAAATACAAAATCTGTAGAGTAGTTCCTAAGAAATCAAATTTTACAAATACATCTTGATATCTCTGGGTTTAAGGAAAGCTGAAAAATTTCGAGAGATTTTGAATTAACAAGTTCAGAACTAAATATGTCCTAAAAAGTAAAAAAAAAAAAATCTTCTTAAATATTA